CTCTCTCTCTCTCTCTCTCTCTCTCTCTCTCTCTCTCTCTCTCTCTCTCTCTCTCTCTCTCTCTCTCTCTCTCTCTCTCTCTCTCTCTCTCTCTCTCTCTCTCTCTCTCTCTCTCTCTCTCTCTCTCTCTCTCTCTCTCTCTCTCTCTCTCTCTCTCTCTCTCTCTCTCTCTCTCTCTCTCTCTCTCTCTCTCTCTCTCTCTCTCTCTCTCTCTCTCTCTCTCTCTCTCTCTCTCTCTCTCTCTCTCTCTCTCTCTCTCTCTCTCTCTCTCTCTCTCTCTCTCTCTCTCTCTCTCTCTCTCTCTCTCTCTCTCTCTCTCTCTCTCTCTCTCTCTCTCTCTCTCTCTCTCTCTCTCTCTCTCTCTCTCTCTCTCTCTCTCTCTCTCTCTCTCTCTCTCTCTCTCTCTCTCTCTCTCTCTCTCTCTCTCTCTCTCTCTCTCTCTCTCTCTCTCTCTCTCTCTCTCTCTCTCTCTCTCTCTCTCTCTCTCTCTCTCTCTCTCTCTCTCTCTCTCTCTCTCTCTCTCTCTCTCTCTCTCTCTCTCTCTCTCTCTCTCTCTCTCTCTCTCTCTCTCTCTCTCTCTCTCTCTCTCTCTCTCTCTCTCTCTCTCTCTCTCTCTCTCTCTCTCTCTCTCTCTCTCTCTCTCTCTCTCTCTCTCTCTCTCTCTCTCTCTCTCTCTCTCTCTCTCTCTCTCTCTCTCTCTCTCTCTCTCTCTCTCTCTCTCTCTCTCTCTCTCTCTCTCTCTCTCTCTCTCTCTCTCTCTCTCTCTCTCTCTCTCTCTCTCTCTCTCTCTCTCTCTCTCTCTCTCTCTCTCTCTCTCTCTCTCTCTCTCTCTCTCTCTCTCTCTCTCTCTCTCTCTCTCTCTCTCTCTCTCTCTCTCTCTCTCTCTCTCTCTCTCTCTCTCTCTCTCTCTCTCTCTCTCTCTCTCTCTCTCTCTCTCTCTCTCTCTCTCTCTCTCTCTCTCTCTCTCTCTCTCTCTCTCTCTCTCTCTCTCTCTCTCTCTCTCTCTCTCTCTCTCTCTCTCTCTCTCTCTCTCTCTCTCTCTCTCTCTCTCTCTCTCTCTCTCTCTCTCTCTCTCTCTCTCTCTCTCTCTCTCTCTCTCTCTCTCTCTCTCTCTCTCTCTCTCTCTCTCTCTCTCTCTCTCTCTCTCTCTCTCTCTCTCTCTCTCTCTCTCTCTCTCTCTCTCTCTCTCTCTCTCTCTCTCTCTCTCTCTCTCTCTCTCTCTCTCTCTCTCTCTCTCTCTCTCTCTCTCTCTCTCTCTCTCTCTCTCTCTCTCTCTCTCTCTCTCTCTCTCTCTCTCTCTCTCTCTCTCTCTCTCTCTCTCTCTCTCTCTCTCTCTCTCTCTCTCTCTCTCTCTCTCTCTCTCTCTCTCTCTCTCTCTCTCTCTCTCTCTCTCTCTCTCTCTCTCTCTCTCTCTCTCTCTCTCTCTCTCTCTCTCTCTCTCTCTCTCTCTCTCTCTCTCTCTCTCTCTCTCTCTCTCTCTCTCTCTCTCTCTCTCTCTCTCTCTCTCTCTCTCTCTCTCTCTCTCTCTCTCTCTCTCTCTCTCTCTCTCTCTCTCTCTCTCTCTCTCTCTCTCTCTCTCTCTCTCTCTCTCTCTCTCTCTCTCTCTCTCTCTCTCTCTCTCTCTCTCTCTCTCTCTCTCTCTCTCTCTCTCTCTCTCTCTCTCTCTCTCTCTCTCTCTCTCTCTCTCTCTCTCTCTCTCTCTCTCTCTCTCTCTCTCTCTCTCTCTCTCTCTCTCTCTCTCTCTCTCTCTCTCTCTCTCTCTCTCTCTCTCTCTCTCTCTCTCTCTCTCTCTCTCTCTCTCTCTCTCTCTCTCTCTCTCACACACACACACACACTCACACACTCTCTCTCACTCACACACACATGCTCTGATATCGACACCACACGCACAATTACACAACATTCAGTTCCGTTGGCTGTTCTCCAGCAGAAGCAGAAAACAGGAGCAAAGCGAGTATTTGCTCCAAAGACAAAACCTCAGAAAATTGTGCCAAAATAGTAAAACATCGTACATCTTTTAAAACTAGCTACAATTTTGTAGCCTTGCCAACAGAATGAAAGCCGGTTAACAAAGAATGCATGAGTTTATGTTTAATGGCACTGGGGTTAAATATTGCTGTTTTAACGGGGACAGTTTCATCTCTGATATTTTTGTACCTACTGTAAAATAGATTTATGAAAGGAAATGAGGGTGAAATATTAAAACGCCAATAAAAATACACATTGTTTGCATTAACACAGCCAAAATGATTAAAAAAATTAATTAAAAGACAAAAATGTCCCTAAAGACGCACAGGGTTAATGACTAAAAATCATCTTCATCTTAATGGCGAATGTAACTGTGATTTAGTGCTGAAACGAGCCGCGGTGGGTTAGTAGCGCTGACCCATCAGTGACCCGCGGGACGAGTGTGTGTATAGTGCTGGTTTCCTTCAGCGCAGTCTCACACGAGCAAAACCAGCGCTTCAGTCTGCGTCGATGTGTTGAGTGTTTGGGGTCAGACTGACAAAACCCCACAGAGCAGAGATTCGTGTAAAAACAGCAAACTTCTACTGCAGCTGGTCAGAGACTGACAAAATATCAAATGTGTGAGAAATGTAATGATTCTATTTGATTGTATTAGGGGTCAATTTGACACCAAATTAGTTGTTCAGATAGAATATATTATGTTTTTGTCTCACAGGTGCAAATAACTACAAGCAACAAATAACAGTGATCTGATATTATTTGTGCTCGTTGTGTTTATTGCTGTTTGTACTTCTGTTATCTCTTATCTAACCCGACTGAGGGGTTCTCACTGATAGTCTAGTGTTTCAGATCCAAATAAACAACCGTTGACAAACTAACAGTGATTCTCAAGACGAGTCTCAACTGAGTCTGACATTTAATACGTTCGACAAGCTACAATAAAAGTTCTTAAGATTTTTTTTGATTTTTGGCAAATTGCATGAAAACTCAAAAGTTGCAACAAATTTTGCACGTGTCGGAACACTGCACATGCATCCATGACCCTGAATGAGAAATATTCACCAAATTTGAATAAGTTGGTTAACCAGTATTTCAAGCATTTTAGAATTCCAGCAGGAGTTGAACTGAGTGTGAAGGGTTATGAGGATCTGTCAGCAGATGAAGATGTTCCTGTTTGCACAGATCAGACTCTTGTAGAAGAGACTCTAGACACGTTCACAACTCCACAAACACACACCACTGATTCTCAGTGACGTCAACGACAAAACCGAAAACCTCTCTAATGTTGTTTTAGGCTGTATGTGTTGATGTGGAGTGTGAATGACCAGCGCTTCTCTCCTCCTGCAGCGTTTAAATGCATCACGGACCAGCGGGAGCAGCTGGAGCAGATGCTGCCGCTGGTGTTGGGTCTCATCCTGGGTCTCATCATCGTCATCACCGTCTCCGTTTATCACTTCCACCTCAAACTGAGCGCCGCGCAGCAGCCGCAGCTTCCTCGCGACCGCTCGCTCTACAAGAACATGTGAAGCTCTCTACCGGACGTGACGTCGGTCCAAATGTCTCAACGCACGTCATTAGAACGCCGCTTTTCTTTCTGGTTTCTGTGTCAAATGTATGGAAGCCCGTTTCCACCATAGAATTAAACGAATGTAAAAAGGTAATTGCGACTTTCTTTCCAGAATTGCTAAAACTCTTGTTTTGTGAGATATAAACTCGAAATTGTGCGGAAAAAAGCCAGAATTGTGAGATACGGAGAATCCAGCAGAAGCAGAGACGGCAGTAAGACTGACAGGAGATTATGTCATGCTCTCAAAAACCGTATGGAAGCATCTTTACTGTAAACTTTGACATAAATTTGATTCCGCTAAGCTGATTCATTCAATTCTGCATTGGTATTTTCTTACAAAGTTAGGAATAGTTTTATTAATAGAATACTTGAAAATGTTCTTAATCTTTTATTCTAGACAACTGAAGTATTCAGTTACGCTATTATAATTTTTGTTAATATTTAGATATTTTTTTTCATTACAGTGTTAAAGTTTTTGTCATTTTGTTTTGTTGCCATGATTTTTTTTCAGTTTTAGTTATTTTAGTACATCAAATTAAATCAAATGAAAAGGTTGATTTTTTTTATTTTAATTTTCAGTGAAAGTTTAAGCAACACATTTCTTTTATGGTTTTAGTTTTAGTTATAATAACCCTGGCCACATGTAAAAAACAAACAAAAAAAAAACTAGTATTGTTTATTATTTTTATGTTTGAACATATACATCTAAAGAAAAATGTATAGTCTTGAACAAGTTTTTGTTTCGTTTTCTTGTCACATTAATCAAATGATTTAAGTACATTTGCATACGTTTAATGTCATTAAATGAACATTAAATCTCACACCTGTAACTTAAAAAATGATCATGAGCTGCTCAGTTTTATTGTATTAAAATGTTCTTAATATTTGAGAACCAAAAGATTCTTTTTTTGCTTAAAAGTATGTTTCTATCCAGCCACTGAAAGCTGTTTAGCGTGCAAAACATCTCTAGCTCTCCCCACACCTTGATGAGACTGTCAGCTGACCTCATTTACAATGCATCATGGGATTGTAGTTCATTCGCTCATTTCAAAATGAAGCAGAACTCCTTCCAGAAAAGCATCTTCATATAAGCGTCTAGAACTCAAAACCTGCTCATGAGACGAATGAACACAGGACGGCGTGTGACGCATCTGTGTTTTATTGAAAGCAGCTCTTAGTGACACATGCAGGATCACTGCACAGACAGCGGAGCTGAAGAGTCCTACAGAAACACGTATTTCCAGATCACAGTGAGCCATGAGACACGGGTGAGACGGCACGAGAAAACACGCGTGAGGACTGTGTCCAACAGCTTCATATTGCTAGAGATCGGGTGAGAATGAGCGTGAAGGCCACACTACTGAAAACCAGAACGAAACCGAGCGTAGAAAACTCTGGCGTGAGCGGACACGACCTACAAACATAGAATAAATAAATATATTCAGGTTCATCTGTCTGCAACAGCCAGTTTATGACCATCTTCAAAAAAATTAAATATAAACAGTAGGAAAGTTTATTATTATTAGTTATTATTTTGCAGAAACTCTCAGTTCTAGGTAATACTGCCCATTTCAGCATGGTGACGTCACAACAAAAATACTGCCGTTTATCAAAACTGTACAAGTAAAACTTACAATTGCTCTAAAATACATCTTCATAGTTAGCGTGAGAAGACGAGCGTGAGAGGGACGTGTGATCGGCGCGGGACCGGACCGAAGCGCAGGGCGTCAGACGCCCGGGGGCCGCCGAGCCGATCCGCTCTGAATGACTGCAGTCTAAACGCGCGGCTCTCAGCGGTGGCGGTAGTGGCGCATCAGAGGAACGATGCAGGACGGTGGGCCCGACAGCTTCAGGAACGAGTGCTGCAGCAGCTCCAGCGCCGACGCACGCTGAGACAGCTCTCGCACCAGCATCAGCTCCAGAAACACCTGCAGAACCGACGACACCTGCACCCAAACACACAGCAGAACAGACGGCCAGTCAGTGGAGCTTCAGCTGACTCAACACACGCCTCACGTCACATGACACAGTGATCCATATGCATAACATATATATATCTCTTTTTATAGACATGCTTCGTTATTAAATGAATCAGAAGTTTTGAACGAATAGAGCGAGTCAATGATTCAGTCACTCATGCATAAAAACGGTGTCTTGCTTCGTTATTAAATGAATCAGAAGTTTCGAACGAATCGAGTGAGTCAATGATTCAGTCACTCATTCATAAAAACGGTGTCTTGCTTCGTTATTAAATGAATCAGAAGTTTCGAACGAATCGAGTGAGTCAATGATTCAGTCACTCATTCATAAAAACGGTGTCTTGCTTCGTTATTAAATGAATCAGAAGTTTCGAACGAATCGAGTGAGTCAATGATTCAGTCACTCATTCATAAAAACGGTGTCTTGCTTCGTTATTAAATGAATCAGAAGTTTCGAACGAATCGAGTGAGTCAATGATTCAGTCACTCATGCATAAAAACGGTGTCTTGCTTCATTATTATCATTATTTATGCAATGCTGAATCAAAATATTTCTTTCTAAAGCAATTTTTTTGTAATGTCTATTAAATGCTTTTCTCATTTAATACATTATATTTTTGGCGGTAATTTCTCAGCCAAAAAAAACTGATGTGCAATTAATTAATTGGCACATCATGTAATTAATTAGAATAACATTTTTAATAATTTGACCGCCCTAGTAGAAACATAATTATATCATTAAAAGGCTGATATAAAAATTGCTTTATGAGCAATTTGAATGTTTATGTACAGCAGTTTTTATTTGTATGTTGTCAAATAAATTTGATTAATTAATTGATTATCAAATAAAGTTTCTGTTTGAGTTTTCGTTGGGTTTGGGTGTTTCAGTAATAAAGGAGTTTCAGAGCGTCGCTGTAAATCAACACGCGTGACTGTGATCATGTGACCGCGGCTCTGACCAACAGAATCACAGCTGCTCACCTTGTGAGACTCCTTGAGTCGCGGCGGCAGGTTGTCTCGTATCCGTCTCATGGCCTGCAGCGGCGGCTCGTTGAAGTACGGCGGCTCTCCGTCCACCATCTCAATCACCATGATGCCCAGAGACCAGATGTCCACCTGCAGACACACCACAGCAGACCCAGCGGGTGACTAGTTACCCATCATGCAGCACACGGGTCACCCGTCATTAACCAGAGCGTCCGCCGTACCTCAGTGCCGTAGGGCAGTCTGGAGATGACCTCCGGTGCCATCCAGTACGGCGTTCCCACCAGAGACTTCCTCTTGGGAACCTCTTTAGACACTTGAGCGCAGAAGCCGAAATCCGAGAGCTTGATCTGAGCACAGAGACACCAGAGCGTCACGTACAGTACAACGCAAAGCTGATTAGCCGCTAATCGCCCCTTCATTTGTCATGTTCTCCCAGCTAATTACAAGGTGGGAGACACGATTTAATTACTTGGAACTAGTGAAGTTGCTAATTACTACATGATCACTTTTCTGCCCTCACAATAAACACACTTATGTGTGTAACCATTCAGTACCATACAGTAAATCACACAACTGTGTGCGGTGTGCTATATGTTCAGTCGCAACGATTAAACACAAGAGAATTATATCTTCTATTCTATTCTATTGAATTATTTTTATTTTATTATATTATGTAATATCATCATCATTAGCATTATATTATTGAAATTATAAATTACATAAAAACTTTATATATAATAATTTTATATAATAGTTTTAATATTATATAATTTCTATTAATTTAAATAATTTATATTTTATATTATATGTATAAAATTAAATTATTTAATTAAATTTAATATGAATCAAATTTAAATTAAATTGAATTGAATAATTAATATATAAATACAATATAAATAATAGTAAAATAAAATATAAATAATATAAATTATTTATATTTATATTATATACATATTTTAAATCACATTATTTGTACTTAATTAAATTATTCACATAAACATAAATTATTTAATTTATTTAAATTTCATTTAATATAAAAAAAATTTACATTATTATATTATACTGTATTGTACTGTATTGTATTGTTGAGGTTACGCACCCGTCCGTCGCTGGTGAGCAGGATGGAGTCGCTCTTGATGTCTCGGTGTATGACGCCCTGCGTGTGCAGGTACGACAGCGCCTTCAACACCGACAGACAGACGGTGGCGATCTGCTCCTCATTCATCCTGTCAACAAAACACACAAACATCAGATCTCCTCAACAATGAGTGCAAATGAGAGGAGAATGGTTTCTCTTGAGACTAACATGGTTGCTAGGGTGTCCTGGGTGGTTGCTAAGGAGTTGCTATGCAGTTGCTAGGGTGTCCTGGGTGGTTGCTAAGGAGTTGCTATGCAGTTGCTAGGGTGTTCTGGGTGGTTGCTAAGGAGTTGCTATGCAGTTGCTAGGGTGTTCTGGGCAGTTTCATCATGCAGTGATGACGGTGAACAGCACTGATGACTGAATTCTGATTGAAACTGTCACTGTGTGAATATACACCAGTGTCATTTCAGCTGCTCTAAACCAGAAGCATCTATTATCACAGATTCAGGTTCAGCAGCGGCACTGAGCAACTAACCTGACCCCTGTCCACCTACACACACATGCCGACACACACACACACACACACACACACTCTCTCACACACACACACAGAAGCGCTAGTGTCATTAGCACTGCGTCTCAAACACGCAGCAGAACAAAGGCTCGTGGGTGAGTCGTGACTCCATCAGCGGAGCGTGAGCGTGAGGCCCAGCTGTCCACCGCGCTCTCATCTGTCTCGCCTGCGGCTGCGGCTGCACTGGAGGGGAACATGCTGCCATGTGTCTGTGCCTCCTCCCGCTCCTCCTCAACACTAATGCAGCGTAATGCGCAAACGGGACGTGTTTGTAATTACTCTGACGAACGAGGCCTCATGAGCAGATCCATGAAGGACACTTCTGTCTCCAAAAACTCATTCACTACTTCATTCTTCACATAGAGTAACATACAGAATACTGCAGTCCCATACAAAACCTACTCACACAGACTTAGATCAAATATAAATAAATAATAGTTAAAAAAAGTGGAAAAAAAGATTGCTAAGTAATTTTAAGAAAGATTAATTAGTGTTAAATACTATAACAAATGCACTGCTCATTGTTAAAGTTAGTTAATGCATTACTAATGGGACTGTACTGTAAAGTCAAATAAGTAATAATGAACAAAATAACGATAAGTAGGATTACACACACACACACACACACACACACACACATATATATATATATATATATACACGCTAATAAGCTGCTGTAAAAGCCCCTTTACCACGGTCAAATCAGCCTGGACTGTTTTATAAAATACATTAATGTTCAATAAACGGGTTAATCTAACAAATAAAAACACACACGTCAACAGTTCTTGCATCTTGTAGTTCATCACTGTAACTGTATCTGAATATAAACGTGTGTTTAAACACAATCATCCCATCACAGCGCTCACTCTCAGCTATCAGTTTAATAAGTGAATTCTTAAGTCGTGTCAGACTCTGATCAGCCTCAAACACCTCCAGATTCTGCATTAATACAAACACAAACAGCTCAGTGTGCTGCTAATCTATCAAGGGCCTCATTACAATGTGCTGTTAATTGAAAGCACTGCGCTCTTTGAACGGCCCACACACAGGAACACGCTCTGGCACGGATCAGCATTTGCTCTGGCAGGAACCCAGCGACACCAACATCAGACCACAGCACATGAGAGACGAACAACAGCACTGAAGAACACTGATCCTGTGCACTCAGACCATCATCAACTGCTCCATGTGACCCCATTCTACTCCATCCAACTCCACCGGACTCCATCAGACTTCACTCTGACTCCATCAGAATCAACCTGACTCCATCCCACTTCAACTGACTCCATCAGCCTCCACCAGACTCCATTTGACTCTAACCAACTCTATCCGACTCCAACTGTCTCCATCGGACTTCACTCTGACTCCCATCAGACTCAACCTGACACCATCCGACTCCAACTCCAACTGACTCCATCCAACTCAACCTGACGCCATCTGACTCCAACTGACTCCATCCGAATCAATCTGACTCCATCCATCTCAAACCGACTCCATCAGACTCAAAATGACTCTATCTGACTCTAACCAACTTCATCTGACTCCAACTGACTCCATCAGACTTCAACTGACTCCATCCGACTTCACCTGACTCCATCCGACTTCACCTGACTCCATCTGACTCCATCAGACTCCACCAGGCTCCATCTGACTCCACCAGGCTCCATCTGACTCCACCAGGCTCCATCTGACTTCACCTGGCTCCATTTGACTCTAACCGACTCCAACTGACTCCATCCGAATCAATCTGACTCCATCCATCTCAAACCGACTCCATCAGACTCCACCAGGCTCCATCTGACCCCCCCAGGCTCCATCTGACCCCCCCAGGCTCCATCTGACCCCCCCAGGCTCCATCTGACCCCCCCAGGCTCCATCTGACCCCCCCAGGCTCCATCTGACCCCCCCAGGCTCCATCTGACCCCCCCAGGCTCCATCTGACCCCCCCAGGCTCCATCTGACCCCCCCAGGCTCCATCTGACCCCCCCAGGCTCCATCTGACCCCCCCAGGCTCCATCTGACCCCCCCAGGCTCCATCTGACCCCCCCAGGCTCCATCTGACCCCCCCAGGCTCCATCTGACCCCCCCAGGCTCCATCTGACCCCCCCAGGCTCCATCTGACTCCATCTGACTCCATCTGACGCCATCAGACTTCACCTGACTCCATCCAACTCAAACTGACTCCATCAGACTCCACCAGGTTCCATCTGACTTCACCTGGCTCCATTTGACTCTAACCGACTCCAACTGACTCCATCTGACTCCATCTGACGCCATCAGACTTCACCTGACTCCATCCAACTCAAACTGACTCCATCAGACTCCACCAGGTTCCATCTGACTTCACCTGGCTCCATTTGACTCTAACCGACTCCAACTGACTCCATCTGACTCCATCTGACGCCATCAGACTTCACCTGACTCCATCCAACTCAAACTGACTCCATCAGACTCCACCAGGTTCCATCTGACTTCACCTGGCTCCATTTGACTCTAACCGACTCCAACTGACTCCATCTGACTCCATCTGACGCCATCAGACTTCACCTGACTTTATCCAACTCAAACTGACTCCAACCATCTCTATCTGACTCCATCTGAATCCATCAGACTCCAACTGACTCCATCTGACGCAACCTGACTTAATCAGACTCCATCTGACTCCAACTGAATCCATCTGACGCAACCTGACTTCATCAGACTCCATCTGACTCCAACTGAATCCATCAACTCCAACTGACTCCATCAGACTCCAACTGACTCCATCAGACTTCACTCTGACTCCATCAGACTCCATCTGACGCAACCTGACTCCATTCGAATCCATCAGACTCCAACAGATTCAACCTGACTCCATCAGACTCCATCTGACGCAACCTGACTCCATCAGATTCAACCTGACTCCATCTGACGCAACCTGACTCCATTCAAATCCATCAGACTCCAACAGATTCAACCTGACTCCATCAGACTTCACTCTGACTCCATCAGACTCCATCTGACTCCAACAGATTCAATGGCAAACTAACTGAAATAAATTCAAGTTGAAGCATTACAATTGAAAACTGTAAATAAATAAAAACTGAAATAAAGGTAAATTACACCTAAACAGTAATGTTTTAAAATAAAAATTATCATAAAAAAACGTCAAAAGCACATAGAAAACTACTAAAAATTAAACTAAAATAAAAATAAAAACTGTAAATAAAAAAAACTAAAGCAACTTAATAATCTTTAATAAAAACTATAAGTATATAACAGTAATAGTATATAAATAATACCAAATATTGTTCACTGGCTTGCATCTGAAAGAAATAATAACTAAAACTAAAACTAATAAAAAAGACAAAAGCTTAAAAAATAATAAAAATGAAAATAAAAGCCCATTAGTAATTAAACTATAACTGTAAATAAATAATATAAAATTACACTGATTCTAGCCGATACGGTTTTAAAGATGTACATAAATGTGCTTATGGTGTTGCTACTGATTGGATTGTTTTATTAAGCTAGACGTCGCTCCGCTTTACATTGTTTTGGAAGAGAAATCATAGTAAAATCAGGATAAAAGCACCTTCGAAGCACAGCACAATATCAGTATCTCCATGCACAAAGCCTGATGTTTTTCAGTCAACACTGCACTGTTCGTCTGCTAAATGACGAGTATGTACTCGGGCCTTTTGAGCAGGATAATCCTGGCCGGAGCCTGACGACGGTTGCTACGCTACGCCGATCCTTCTCAGCGTCTGGAGCAGAGGTTTGGAAGGAGAAAAGCTGTGCTGCTCTCCATTAATGCAGCGGAGGCTGTGTCTCACTGCCATTCGAGCGGATTTCCGCCAATCTCTTAAGTTTGCTGCAGGCTCTGGCTGTTTTTCCTATTCTGGGCTGTCCTTGTGTGACCCAGCGGCTCAGGCCAAGCTCTTAGCAGGGTTTACTGGAGGTAACGGGGTTAGGGGTCCGTCAGATTCTTACACATGCAGAACTCGGAAGTCTGGAGTATGCATTTGTGATTAGGAAAAACACTAACGAGGTCACGGTGAAAAAGAGACGAAAGACGTGCCCTCGAAACGAAAACAAAAACGTGTGCTTGAAAAAAAATGGGCGTAGAAATTGCTAGTCAATTTCTATAATATTTACTAAGAAACAGCAAGCAACATTGAATTTTCTAAGCACAAAAAAATTACAGTATTTTCTTTTAAAACACACTCCAATAATCTTTGTTTGATTTACAACTTTAGCAACAACAACAGAATTCATAAACTTTAAATATATATATATATATATATATATATATATATATATATATATATATATATATATATATATATATACTGTATATATATA